TTGGTGTTGGTGAGATCCTACACCCCAAAAATAGATGTTATAGTAATATTCATTTTCCAGGCATTAGCCACACACACATAAGTATTGATAAATAAATTGGTTTCAAAGTGTCACATGACAAAGCCTTAGTTCGTGTGGGAGTTCAAAGTAGGAAAAAATTCCTATCTATAAGTGAAAGAATTCTTGCAAAAAAAAAAAAAAGATTGTCCTGTTGGGGTAAGTATACGTGGAGGTCAAAGGGTATCTTGAGTATTGGTCCTCACCTTCCCACCTTGCTTAACACCAGGTCTCTGTTGTTCCCTGATGCCTACACAAGCTTGCTGACCCTTCTCTGATTCCCATCTTAACACTGAGCACCAGATCACGTGGGATCACATTTGCACATCACTAGACCAGAGGCTTCTTGCGGGTTCTGGGCATTTGAACCCAGGTCCACATGCTTATACAGCAGGCTCTTTACCCACCAAGCCATCTCCTCGGCTCAAAGCATAGACAGTGACTGTGGTCCGTTTTCTGTAGTTACACTTTCCACTTTATCAGTGTGTGGTATTTATTGTTTTGAATATATATTACTTCCCTCTGTGTCTACTGAGAACCTGTTGATTACCAAGTCTTGCTCTAACAATTTTCACATCTGTACCTCATTAAGAAGAGAGTAGTGTTTATGTATGCTTGTATATATGTACATACATATATAAAAATACATATTTAAAACTAAAAAATTAGTGCAGTCATAAGCACATATAAAGTAGATTATTCACACATAGTCACTTATGCCCAGAGATGAAAGGTACAGGGGGCTGATGAACAATCGTACAATTTGGAGCTAGAAACAAACCTCATTTATCCTTTTTTCTTTATTAGGGAGTATGCCATGAAGACACTTTCCAAATTGCTGTCCTATTATCTTAGCTCCACTTATGCTATCATTTGTGGAACAATTGTGCTTCTTTCTGTGGGAGATGCCAAGGGTGTTGTTAGCAGCTTGTTTGTTTATGTATGGCATTGAAAAGAATGAAGTGAATGGTTGGAGCAGTGAATAAATAGACCACGCAGATAAAGTCATGACTGAATGAATAGGAAAAGGCCATGCTGGGGCCAGGGAGAAGCTATCACATCCATTGTAAATTACCAATGCTTGTGGCTTCCTGTTGGCATACAGGCGAGGCATGACTGGAAGGTGTATTGTTATTAGGGGCACAAGTTGTCACGAGCGATAGATCCGCTACAACAGCTGAGGGGTCTCGGGACATAGCTGTTCTTGTGAGCTTGGCATATAGTAGTAGTATGCCTCCTGGAGAAAAGCAAGTGGGGTAGTAAACCTGTCAGCTGACGCTAATCCAAAGACCCATGTGATGCTCATCTGCTCAGATACAGCACAGGTGCTGATGGCAAACATGGAATTCAGTTCCCAGCGACACATGCACACAAACAGACAGACATGTGCGTGCGCTTATGTCCGTACTTGTCCCTGTTTAATTTGTCTTGGAACATGAAGTTTGAGAATGTCTAACACAGCAAAGGGGAATAATTATTAAAACTGATGTCAGTCATCATGTGTCCTCTTTTGTATCCTAAGAATACACAGGCTTACCTCTGAAATCTTTTTAAATCTGAGAACATCAAAGACAGATTATGTCCTGAGGTCTCAGTAGCTCTCTTACTTTTCCTCTCCATATTCTACCACTCAAAATGTCAACATGATGAAAGCATTTATTCTTGTTCTCATTGCACCCCACCATTTTCTGGATGTGCACAGATTACCTCCTGTAGACTTAAACTACTTCCTATAAACTATTTAGAATTTTCTTCTAGAAACCAGATTGTTTCTAAATTTTTCATCACATTTGTAATCAGTTTCGTCGCCTCTTCCCTCTACCATGTGACCCACCTTCATTGTTTTTGGACTATGTATTTGTATCCAGGGAACCAGTGCACTGACAACAGACATTTTACTTGTGCCGTCACAGCTCAGTGACTCTGTGTCACTAAAGCCAAACCACATCTGCTGCAAAGCAAAGTGACAAAACTCAAGAGTCACACGCCAGCGGTCCCCGCGGTGGTGGCACTCATTTTGGCCTGTACCCTGAATTGCTGCATCATCTGAGTGTTCACCAAAAGAAAGGTTGTACCTAAGTCCCAAGAGCTAATTCAAAGACAGCACAGCTTTCCATCCTGTAGGCCAAACCCAGCCAATAAGTAGAGATAAAGCCAGTAGCAGAATAGAGGGGCCTGGGTGTCCTCTGCTGTAACACCCAGCAGTGGGATGGGTACTAAAGACGTGAGCCCCTGTGTAGCTGAGTATGGGGCTGGGTTTCAGTGACCAGTGCTGAGCCACTGTCTCCAAAACCTGTGTGTTGAAACATCTTAACCTTCAGGTAGACCGTTACGTCACACGAAGACAGGTCAGAGAGGTGCCTTCTCTTTCAAGCTGGTCTCGAGGAAGCAAGAAGGCAACCAAGCCATTTTACAGAGCTGGGAGTGGGCCCTCACCTGGTTCCCATCCTCAAACTAAGAGAGCTCCATTTCTGTTGTTTCTGGGACTGTTCTCTGGTTTATGAGTCTGTTAAAGCTGCCTGAATAGACTACAAGACACACACCCCAGAACAAGAGACAGGTTTAGGTCTTTTCCTAGAGGTATCGACTGAAGACAGCCTCTTTAGCTTGCTTCTCAATAGTTGTTACCAGCGTGTTGGTGTTAAGCAGTTCTGTGATACTCAGAAGTAGTTTCTCACCAACGTCTGTGGCCACGATGCTCACGAGAGGTATTCCAGCTAGCATGGTGACAGAGCCACGTACGTAATCAGCACCCAAGCTTAGCTAACATCCTTCCTCTGTGTATAAACTGGGTTAACCTGGGAGCCCTGACCCTTAGGGAGGGTCAGTTATGTATTCCTATACCTCAGAATGACATTTAGACTTTGCCTTTATAATTTCTTAATTTTCTCTGATATCAAGCAAGCAAACATTTTAGTGAAAATAAAGCGGAATATTGTTTCTAGAAAATTTATGTATTTGGTACTTTGGAAGAATAAAAAGTAAGTATGAGCAAAAAGATTGGGCCCGGGAGCAGACTTAAGTATCCAAAAGGACCGTTGTCTTGGTCTATTTGATGATTGTAGATGAACCCTAGACTGAGTAGTGTTTTATAAGAAGTTTATTGTGCATGGTTCTTTAAGCTGAGAAACCTAGGATGAAGATGCCTGTGGGTCCTGTGTCTAGTGAAGGTTGCCTGCTTCCAAAACACCAGCTTCTTGCTGCCTCCTCACAAGACAGAAGGGACAGGGCACATCTTTCTACCTACTAGATCTCCAGTCTCATTCATGTGAACAGAACCCCCCTCCAAAGCTTCATCTCTTCATAAAATGCCTGACACTCACACTTAGACATAGCACCCCCCAGTGAGTGTGCAGAGGACGCAACACCATTAAGCCGGTGGGTTGCTTTGTTCCTTGTTGACGTAGAACAGAATTTAAAGGCTCGTAGATGTTCAGAAAGCAGTCTGATTACAGGATCCCACAGCACTAGCTTGTGAAATATCAGGATTCTGAAGAACACCTTCCCAGAGTCCCACGCTGCCTCTCTCGGTGGCTTTAGCTGCAGAACATCGGTCGTGAAAATAATGTGTTTCAACATAACCATGAGATGCGCAGTGCAGGCTTTGGGGCATAGCCGACCTGGTTTGAATTTCCAGTCTGTAATTCTGTAGTAAGTCACATGTCATCCGCTAGTCCTGCTTCCTCGTCTACAGTGCTGCTCCTGGAGTTTTGTGGAAGTTAGTGACACCCTGTTTGGGAATGTGCTAGATACAGCATTCATACTCTGTACAAGATAGCTGCTAAGAATCCATAATTTTTTTGTTTTGTTTTTTGAATTTTATGTCACTTTTTCACTTTTTGCTTTGCTATTTTGGGACTTGTCTAAGGCCTCAGTAATGTATGCCGTTCATACATGACTGTATTTCTATAGGTATGACCCTGGGCCTATAGTCAACTAGACAGTAACACACACACTATAATTTGATATCTAATATAACAAGGTATACAATTCTTGACAATAACCTATAAATATTTTACATAGGTTGTTATTAATAGAGCCAGTTTTAGTGGTTTGGCACTAGAGAAACTGAGGCAGCTGGGTGGTAAGTTTGAAGCTGACCTGAGTCCACATAATAAATTCCCAACCAGAGTGGGCTTTGGAATAAAGCTCTGACTCAAAAATAAACAAAAAAATAGAAAGAGAAAGAAAAAATAACTGTCTATGCCATTCACTAAACAGGAGTTGAGAAATATTTATTTATGTACTACGGTTGTAAACCACAAAAATATTTAATAAGTGTGTTTTAGTTAGGGAACGGTATTTAGACTTATGGGGAAACCTAGAGACGTCCCCACCCTCAAAGGACTGTTTGGGTTACTTGGGAAAAGACCAGAAATGTCACAAAGCGAGCTTATTTCATTGCAAATGAAATGGTTGCTGCAGATAAGAAAGGCTTAGCACTCCGAGAGGACACGGTTGTCTCTGAAGCCCAGAGCGTAAGATTTTTGAACTTGTAATTGTTAGCAGTAATACCAAGAGAAAGGAAAGGGGTGTAATTAAGAAAAAAAGAGACCCAGCATGCTACAGCGTCCAGGACAACTAGAGAAGCCTGAGGACATCCTCAGGACTCCCACATACCTTCAGTGGAAGGCTCAGACCAAGATGGGCTCCACACTGTGACAGGTTAAACTGAACTTTAAAGCCTGGGCCTGTAGACCATGGTAGCTTTGTTGTTGGAATGGCAGCAAACAGGATACATGGTTATGGAAGTCAGACTCCTCAAGAGTTCCCGTTGCAAGGGAAACACTTGGCAAGCCTTCCTTCACCAGAGAGGGGCAGTCACACTTCTTTCTCACACCAGTAAAGAATCTTTGGCTTTCTGCTGGAACAGTGATAATGGCAATGATTGGATTGTAACGTCAGGAAATGCCTGGTTTTAAAATGTGTCTTTATTCTTCTAGGCCTCTTTTTCGTGGAAGTTCAGATGTGGATCAACTAGGAAAAATCTTGGAGTAAGTAAAAAATTATAGTCTTACATCACGTGAATGTCCGCAGCGACTGTCCTCTGATGTTCTTGTTTCTCTCTTATCTCTCTTGCCTCAAGCTGAAGCTGCAGACAGTCTTACTAGTTGGTGTGGTGAGTTGGGACGAGGAAGAGAACCTCACTTAGGGCGGTCATGATGAGTAACCTTGCTGCTGTGCTCTGAATGCTTGTGCGCTGCCTCGGTGGCTTTTCGCTGCTTCTCCATGCTTGGCTGAGCTCTGAGTGCCATCTCCATAGTGCAGATGTTGTCTGCTTGTGGTCACATCTCTCCTGTCCATATAGGCATCCTATTCCCATTGAAAGTCCTTGATCATTCTTGTTGGTTTGGCATTGCATTTCCAAGCCAAGGACAAAAATGCTACCCAGTCACATTTTCCCCCAGAACAGCAAACCAGGGAATGAGAGCCTAGGTTCTCACCTGTGACAGCTGTAAGTAAGAAGAAGTCACACGAAGCACCCTTCAGTGGGTTTACTGCCCCATGCCTGGCTGGTGATTGCTGGCTTAACCCTGTTTTCTTTAGCTTTTTCACCTGAGAAACGGAACCAACTTTAGGTTCTCTGTTCAGTCTGCTTTCCAACCCGCGTGTTGCTTCCGGTTGTTTGTTCCATTATTGCTCTGTGATGATTTGCAAACCTCTTTCGTGCCTCCGCTTGTGCATGTGAGGATGGGCATGCTTTCATGTCACTAGAATGTAACTGTGTGGCATCCTTTTTGGATATGTGCTTTTGCCGAGCCCCACCCCAAATGAAATAGAATGGAAAGCGCACAGGAGTCCTGGCTACAAGTCACCACCCTCGTTGGTTGGTAACGTTTTTATGAATCTCAATCTCAAGTGATTTTTTTTAATGGAATTGTAAAAAGTTATAAGATCCACTGCCCCACAAAAACAAACAAATAAACAAACAAAACGATAATTATTTACTTGAGCATGATTGCTTCACACCTGGAATTCACCCCAAGCTAATGACTGGGTTCTTCTGGGAACCGGAAGCTCTTCCTGCTTTGAAGCTGAAAGAACATTTGCTGGCTTTGATTTGTGTGTCAGGGAGGCAGTTGACTTTGTTATCGTTGGTCTGGTATGGTCTGGTCTGGTCTGGGGAGTCACCAAGCTTGTCTCCTGACAATCCCGTAGAATGGACACATTCTCAACCAAGCCAGTGTGTTAACCTACTTTTGCGTGGAAACTCCTGTCATGCGCTGGTGGACTTGTGTTTCCCGAGACTGTGAAATGTGTTCTGTGTGCATGTGATCCTCAAGGACGGACCCAGGAAAGTAAACTTTCTAGTTTTCCCCCTGTGGAGGACAATCTTGGTGACATCTGCCACCGGGCAGTGGAGATCGTCACCTGCCCTCTCATCCTTACTGTTCCTGGGAGTCTGCAGACCACGGAGCCAGTGCAGTGGGTCAAAAGGAACATTTGGCTCGCCCCGTGGGAAAGCCCATTCGACTTTTGGCCAAGGCCTGGCACTCCCACGTGGCTAACAGAAAAGCAACCACAAAGCTTTGCATGTTTTGTGCCTTTAGATTATACTTCTTGGTTTCTGGCTTTGCCTCATTAATCTGAAGGGTCCTCTCCGCAGGAAAGGGACCATGCTGCACCCTAGTGTCACTGCCAAACTACTTGACATTGTTTCTTACAGGAGCCAGAGAAGACAGTAGGGTGGACTTTAATTTTTATATGTGTATGCATTTATGTATGCATATATCTCTGTGCCTTATGTGGAGTTGATATGTACTTACATATTATGCAGATAGACATAGTGTTTCTCTGAAATTTTTTTGGCTTCTGACTGCTGTATTCCTAATATTTCAAATCCATGTTTGAGACTGCTAATAATACTCAGGAGACTGAGACCAGAGGATTATGAGTTTGAGGCCAGCCTGGGCTGCACGGTGAAACACTATCTTTAAAAAATGCTGCCAATAAAATAATTTGAATTCCAAGCATCTTTATAATCCATTTATAGGTGTACGATGAGAAAGTTGTACAATGTCCTGATGGAAACGGGTTAGGAAGGGTTTTCTTTTTCTCTGTGGCCAGTCTATTCAAGCACGCCCCGGGGTCGGCTTTCGTAGGTAGAGTGATGTTTTTACCCCTTCCTTCCTCACGTTATGGTTCTTACTATTGAACATAGTTGTGTGTTGCTCAGCCGTGATTTGCTCGTTGGTTCCAGTATATCTATGAGTATATCCATAAAAGCATATCACATGCCTTTATGTGGCTGTCTGTTGATGCCGGAGGGAAGGAACAGAGCCAGTTTCTTGCTCCATGCCTCGTGACGTGTGCACAGGTGATGGGGAATGTGCTCTCCCCAGGGAGGTCTGTGACCTGAGAAGGGAACAGTGACAAAGCCCTGTAGATCTTGTGACATTTATCACCTATCTTCCTGCAAGATGGTTGCAGCCACCCCTGGTTCTGTGCCGCAGAAGGTGCAGAGCGGAGCTTTAATGTGGGTCAGCGCCATTTCTAACTGGGGCAGAAATAGTTTGGATCAGGATCTGCATCTATACAACCTGTCTACAAAATTATGTTTTTGTTTTTTTAGTTCAGAGTTACTCAGAGTCTGTGTACTCTCCGAATAACACTTAACTACCTATACGTAAACTAGAAATAATACTACATATGTATAAATTGTACGGGGCCACCAGCCTGCCAGTAATAAGTAACGAATGGATATCGGCTGCGTGCCAGTGTATGCCAGGCACTGTCGTATACGGTTCCAATAAATTACCACCAACCCTCCTGTAACTGCCAATTACTACTGTCGCAGATAAATGACGCCAAAGCTCATGGTTGTCATGTAATTTGTCCTTGCATGTCAGTTAAGGGCAGGTGCTGAATCTGAAGCCACAGCTGCCTCTTCCCAAAGCCTGTGGCTGGCTTTCCCTCCACGTCTCTAATCCCAGAACGGTTGTCGGGGGAAACCCAAATGACATCGTTTTGGTGGACTGTCTCTCACTTTGGAATACCACTAAATAGTGCTTGCATAAGATAGGGCTGACATGCTTTTTAACCTTATTTTTTGAGTCTAATTTATGTAATTATTTAGAAAATTACTCTTTAGTTTAAAAACCTGGCTAAAGTAATGTGTTGTTATTATTACACTGTACTGGATGGGTATCATGAAAACTCGTCTTCTCAGAGCTCTTCAATCAGAACACAGAGTAGAGCTCCATTGGCCCAGAGAGGCATACTTGGGTGTCCAGGTGGCCCTGCGTGGCCCTGCCTCGTCACTGCACCAGGACTTGTCTCACCTGCGAACCTCCCGCTAGTGTCTGCTGCCACGGACTTCGCTTGCTTCCTGTGAATGAACTCCATAGTGTTCTCTGAGACTGTGCCGCGTGCCTGCTCTAGGATTTTGTCAGGAAGCTATATGACCGCCAACGTTCACATTCCCTTCTGGTTCTTCTGTAGCGTGATTGGACTCCCAGGGGAAGAAGACTGGCCCAGGGATGTTGCTCTTCCCAGACAGGCTTTCCAATCCAAATCTGCCCAACCCATCGAGAAATTCGTGACAGATATTGACGAACTAGGCAAAGACCTACTTCTGGTAAGTTCCCGGATCATAGTTGGCCAGAGCCCATTGAAACTGGACGGCCAACGTTGTGTATCCCAACCACACGACACAGGAGGCTGTGGTCTTCCTGTGGACGGCCAACGTTGTGTATCCCAACCACATGACATGGGAGGCTGTGGTCTTCCTGTGAATTTTGTTTCCAGCTGCTTGTTTTTGACTCTGGAATATCTTTTCTACCGCAGCTCTTAGCACCATGTTTTGCATGTTTATTTGGATGCAGTGTAAGAAGGCTCTGGATTTTGGGGGCACAGGCTTCTTGACAAGAAAATGTGTTTTCTTGTTTAAAGTTCCATGCTACTTGAAGCAACTTGATAATCATATCCATGCAAATGTTTTCCCCAAAGGAACCAAGTAGCAATTTTTCTAGTTATTGCTTTATTCAATAAACATTTAGTGTGCTATGCACATATAAAATATCCTGCTGAAAATGAGATTCGGAAGCTGGAGAGATGTCTCAGTTCTTACGAATATGGGCAGCTTTTGCCGAGAACTCGGGCTCAGTGCCCAGCACCTCTGGCCTCCACGGGTACCTGAGCTGTTGTGCACATTCCCCCACGCAGACTCAAATATACACATACCTAAAATGAAGTATCTTTTAAGAAAACAAACTGAGCACTTTTGTACTATCAGACTCCTCGTTACTGCTGTCATGTATCCGGTCCTGCCCTTGGGGACACGGAAGGCCCTCCTTCTGCACTGTTCTCGTCGTCAGAGCCCTGGTGAATAAGAAGTCGAGTTAAGAGCCCTTACTACCTGATTCACACTGTGGATCGAAACCTGCTCTTCTCGTATCTGTCTCATCCTGCCTCCCAGGCCAGAGAGGCCGCAGGTTCCTGCCATATGTTTGTCTCATGGAAGCAGGTAGCTGCTCCCAGAAGAAACACGATATCCCTGAAGACCTCAGTCAGCTGATGGTCAAGGGCAAGGGTAAGGATGTTCCTCACAGCCTACCAGAGTATTCAACTCTTGAATAAGTTATAATTCTAGAAGGTAATTTTTAACTCAGTTATTTGGCAATCAAATTAAACCTTTTTGACTGAAGCAATATTTATTGTTTATGGTGTTTTAGTTCATTCTCATGCTGGTGACTTTGTTCCTAAAGCATAACAGTTAGAGAAAGCTTAGAAGCCACTTTTCCGGGACTTCCCCCAAGGTCCAATGCACAAGCGCACTATTTGCCTTGATATGTTTCCGATAAGATGTTTTCTTTATTACAGAAATGCTTGACGTTTAATCCAGCGAAAAGAATATCCGCCTATGGCGCCCTGAATCACCCGTACTTCCAAGACCTGGAGAGGTACAAGGACCACCTGCACTCCCACCTGTCACCCAGCCAGACCACCTCGGAGCTGAACACAGCCTGAGGATCGTGGGGGATACCATGAGCTGGTCATCTGAACATGTCCGTGGCTGACGAGTCCCCTGAGAAAGCCTTGCAGAGCAGTTGAAGATGGCTGCCTGCAGGCCTTCCAGATGCCAGCTTCTGGATGGGCTCTGCTTCACCAAGGAGACCACCTAGTTTACTGTTCCAAAATCAATGCAAGAGCGATTGCCGCTTTATGTTCGTTCACCTGTTTGTTGTCTGTCTGTCTGAAGAACCTGGAAAACTTCCAGATGAAGAGAAGCTGCTGACCCATCGTGCTGCCATTTCATTTTCTAACCTTGAGTGCTGCCCGCTGTGGGATGGTAATCTAGGTCCGGCTGAGTTATGACATCATCTCTGCAGCTGCTGGGCCTGCTTTGGTACTTGTGAGAGAGAGAGAGAAAGAGAGAGAGAGAGTGTGTGTGTGTGTGTCAGTGTCAGAGAGAGAGAGAGAGAGAGAGAGAGAGAGAGAGGTTCCTGATCTTGTAAAGTGTTAACTTTTTGTAGACAACAAGAATAATTGAATTTTAGAGACTAAGGTGAGGGCTTAGTACAATGAAGGTGATTGAGCAGTGTGTTTCTCTCCAGTTAGAAAGGTGAGCCTATGTCCTCAGCATTTCCTTTCTGTCCAAAGGCTTTTGCTAGCTGTAAACGATAAAGTTTTGGACACCACAAAAACAAGAAAGTGAGAGGGAGGGGAAACCCGGTATCTATAAAGAGACTTTTTCTAAGCATGCATTCTTCTGTTTGCTCTTTGGAAAGTTGAATGTACTTGTCCTAAGTCCTGTGTATAGCACAGTACCTAATTCTCCTCTGGGGAAAGGCCCTATACGCATTTTATTACTTGCAATAGGTTTAGGGACTGTTCTTCAAATAGGTTTTAAAGATAAAGAAAGCCTATATTTCCTGGTTTGAGATGTTATTTCCTTTGCATTTCTTGTCACTTAGTTTTTTGTTTTAGAGAGTTGCTCCCTTCTCTGATTTGGAGATGGTTCTGACTAGAGACAGGAATGCCCTGAGGTTCTCTCCACCTCACCTTCCACCCCATACTTTCTGTCATGCATCTGCCTCGTTCTGATTTGTCTGTACAGTGCCCACCTTCTCCATCGCCAGCATGTCTAACACATGTTCCTCCCATGCCTAGCTGAGGACGGATTGCCTAGCTGCCCGCTACACCACACCTCTGCCTGCCCACTGTCTTTCACCGAATGCTTTGCTACCAGCCTTGTTCATGGCTCATGGCTCCAATTCTGCAACCCTAATAGGGTCCTCCTACATTTTCTTACTGTAGTCTTCCCACCTGCTGTCTCTGAGGTCACTTGTTCAGTGTGTCACCACCATATAGATTGCTTTACATTTTTATAGAGTGGATTGTGGATGAAATGTCTAAGGGGATGGGTGTCTCTCTCCCCCTTTTAGAGAAACTGTTTACTTTCTCTCCATCCCCTGGATGTGCTGTTTTCTGGTGCCTTGTGCTTTCTGTAGAGCCAGCCTGGCCGGGGCTTCATAAACAACTTTCCCTTGCTCACTGTTCTCAGTCCTCTATATCCCGTGCCACTTTTGCCTTATCCACAGGTTTAGTGCACTGGTAATTAGAAAGCACAGAAAGCAGCTTTGGGGAAGTTTAGCTGTCTTTTAATCATGTTTGTGGAGTGCATGGAAGTAGAAACTAGATCATGTTTCAGCATACTTGGACAGAATGACCGATGTCAGATTCAGATGGTGTATTCTGAAGCCTTACTGAGTTTTTTTGCAGCTGAATAATGCTTGTGATTATCTTGGATAGAGGTGAGTTAGGTGCCCTTCTTATGAGCTTTGGGGGCTGGAAGTCAGTCTTTTCCCTTTTTAATACATGTATTACATTCTTCTGATTCACTTTCTTTAGAAACAAGTTTTTTTTTTTCAAAAGCAAGATTTAAAAAAAAAAATCAAGGCTGTGTGAATGTCCTGTGTATCATCATTACAGCCCTGGGATGTGTTGTGAGTGCCGTCAAAGCTCAAGATAGGCTCAGAGCAGCCAGCAGGTCTACCCTAAGTCTCACCACAGCAGTGGGTTCTGCTTTGCCTTGAGCAAGGCTCCAAATGTAGGCTTTTGCTGGGGCCTAGAAATTGAATATAAAACTCACTTCACCATGGCCTACTCCTTTTTGGATTAGCATCCATGTGATAAAGTGAAAATAATTTTGAGGGTTTTGCTTTTGGAAAAAAAAAATAGTGTCTCCCCCGAATTGCTTTGTTTGAGGAAAATACAGCTGTCTTAAACTGGAATCTTTTAGTATTCTACAGAATTTTTAAGGTATAGTATTCAACTTCATTATTGTCATCTGTTTGGGGCTTATTTCTAAGTAGGTTTTGGAGGGATTGTTGTTTTCGGGGGGTTGATTTTGTTTTGTTTGTTTTTCGAGGCGGGGCTTTTCTGTGTAACAGTCCTGGCTGTCCTGGAACTAGCTCTTCTAGACCAGCCTGCCCTCAAACTCGCAGATATCCTCCTGCCTCTGCCTCCTGAGTGCTGGCACTAAAGGTATGTGCCACCACCAACCTGCTTTAAGTAGTATTTTAAGTCACAAACATTTTGGTATTAGAAACTTGGCATATTGTGCCAGAATGATCCAGAAAGGACATCCCTGCCTCTCTGGACCTCATCTCTGCCCCAGCTCTTCATTCGTGCGGTTCTCTGGGTGTCGGGAACCTCGCCATCCCGGCCCTTAGTAGTACATGGAAGCATAGGGTGGAATAAAGGCTCAGTGAGCAGGGCTCACCCTGGGGCCTATGGATTCAACACCTTTGTCACTAACGAAAACCTTCTGCCCCAGGGTTCTGCTGAAACAGCTTTTAGTGATGAGAAACAGGTTTGAAATTACTGTAGAAATAGTGGAAGAATGTGCCTAACCGCTTCTCTTCAGGGTTTGGTCCCGGGCCCTGGCATTGCAAGACTGTCTGGAGTTGTAACATCCTCTTCAGAAACAAGAGGGGAGATTTTCCAAGTAGTCCCCATGAGCTCCCAAGCCATCTTGTGAGGAGTCCTGACCGTCCCGCCACCCTGAGACACACAGTCTGTGAGCGCCCGGTGGGATGCAGCGTCCCACTTTGTCCCTCTTTGAAGAAGATGGGCGCCCAAGCAGCAGAGAAACTGTCCCCTGCTTCTCACGATTTCCTCTCAGAATAGTAGATTTGAATTTAGTCTCAGGTGATTTACTTCAAACAGCCCAGAAGTCCTCACTTAAAAACCGAATTTCTACGTGGTCATTTTTAGTGAAAATAAAAAGTCTAGGATACCTTCTGGGTGTTGCCATAAACTACTTCTCTTTGAATAGAAAGGTGTGCAGATGGCTCAGCAATGGAATGCTGGTCAGCTAGTTTGAGAAAGTCAATAGGACCAAACATTTTGAACTTTAAAGTATGTCCTGAAATTGTTTTCTAAAGACTTTTATTTGTCTGTATGTGCCACTGTGAGTATGCCAAGCATGTTGCCGGTACCCTAGACTCCAGGAGAGAGTGTCGGATCCCCTGGAGTTGGAACCTCGCTGACGTGGGTGCTGGGAACTGAACTGTGGTCTTCAGCAAAATCAGGAAAGAGCAGGACTCGATTTTAACCTCTGCAGCTCCCGTGCAGTTATTTTTTAAGGGACCATAGCTGCTTCTATTAAGAGCTATGCCTACTAAAGGCAGTTACAGCCATTCTCATTAGGGGAGTTAAATCATGTAAGTGTTCGAGAACCACATGCGTGCACACTCACAGATACACACACACACACACACACACACACACACACACACGGTTTCCTGTGTAGCCATGGCTGTCCTGGAACTCGCTTATAGATCAGGTTAGCCTCGAACTCAAGTAGATCTGCCTGGCCCTGCCTCTTGATTCCTGGGATTAATGACATGCACCACCACACCCAGCTGTCTGTTTTTATGAGCTCACTTTCTGAAAGCACACTTTTGTTGCACAGCTGAGTTCAGCAGATAGCACTAAGTCCCTGTAATAGTGAGCACATATTGATAGCCTACAGAAGAATGTACACTTTACATTGTAGCATGAAAATAAAGATACTATATGACTTCTGAATCTTTAAAAATTATGGAATAGTGGGAACCAACACAGCATATTCAAAGGGTATTTCCAGATTTACAGACTTTTTGAATAATACACTTTTGCCTTTAAGTATATTCTAACAAAAATTTTAGGTCATCCAGCACTTGCTGACTTGGTATGTCAACAAAACACATTCTGTGGAGACACACAGAATGGTTGGTGTTCCTTCCTCGTTTTATAGGAAGAAAGCAGCCACCTGAAGCTATACTCAAAATATATATACATGCCTAAGAAAAGGCACTATAAAAAATGAAAATTTAAATGGCATTTACCTCCTCTTCAAGTGAGAATAGACAACTTAAAAGCCTTATCCAAAAATCCTCCTTTGTTTTGGGGGGGTAAGTCTTGTTATAGAAGCCGGGCAGACGTGCTGCCTGCAGCCTCCTGCCTCTTCCAAGCACTGGATTGCACATCTCAATCATATCCAGTTTGGTTTGGCTTTTTGTTTTGTTGTTTTTTTAAGGACATAAGCCAAAGCTATTCTTTTGCCCTACTGTCTTCTGAAAGAGAGGGGTTTAAAATTTTTTGTTTGTTTGTTTTGTTTTGTTTTTATTCAAGACAAGATTTGTGTAGCGCTGGCTGTCCTGGAACTACCTTTGTAGTTCCAGGCCTTTAACTCACAGAGATTCACCTGCCTTTGTCTCTCTAGGGCTGAGGTTAAAGGCGTGTCCCTCCGCCCATACTCAGTTTTTAACTGTTCCTCTCAATTTGCTTTTTTGAATTTTTCTAATGAAGTACTGAATTGCCTTTTCCAGATATTTTTCCCAGGGTTTTCAACAAGGTAAATCTAACTCGCTGCTAGAATATCCATGCCTCTGTGACCCCCCGAGAAAACAGCCACCTGAGAATAAACTGCTTTTGCTCAAAAGTTTAGAAATACGGTTACAACAATTCGAAAGGAAAATGGTGAGAATGGAAGGTAATTTAGAGTTGGTTTGGTTTGGGGGCAGAAGTCTATTAAAATTCACAGTCCCCTAAGATTTAAGTGGGGTTTGTTGTTGTTGTGCCTGATGACCTTCCACAAGGTGGCACTCTCAGAAAAATCTGACCAAGCCTAAAGAGATGCTCTAAAAATATTACTGCAGACTCTTTTCCCACACATCCTTAACTGTCATCTCGCGTGTTTCTTCAAGTAACTAACACCTTCATAATATTCCACAGCTTACACAGCTGCTTGTAGCTAGTTTCTGAGTAACTAACATCTTCATAATAGTCCACAGCTTACACAGCTGCTTGTAGCTAGTTTCTGAGTAACTAACATCTTCATAATAGTCCACAGCTTACACAGCTGCTTGTAGCTAGTTTCTGAGTAACTAACATCTTCATAATATTCCACAGCTTACACAGCTGCTTATTAGCTAGTTTCTGAGTAACTAACATCTTCATAATAGTCCACAGCTTACACAGCTGCTTGTAGCTAGTTTCTGAGTAACTAACATCTTCATAATAGTCCACAGCTTACACAGCTGCTTGTAGCTAGTTTCTGAGTAACTAACATCTTCATAATAGTCCACAGCTTACACAGCTGCTTGTAGCTAGTTTCTGAGTAACTAACATCTTCATAATATTCCACAGCTTACACAGCTGCTTATTA